CTAGCTTCCTACAAGGATGGTGACGGAAAAAAAGAGTAAACAAAATGTGGGTAATCCTAAAATGCCATTCCATTATCATGGGTCAACTAAATTAGGTTTTATGTCCCAACATCTCCCGATTAAGAATTCCCTAATCCTTCTGAATTATCAATGAATACAGCTGCTATTCAAACATTTTCTTTTTCTTGGTGGCCATTTATTGTCAAACCAAGAGTCCCCCTCCCTTTAGCGGTCACTAAAGTCTACCTTCCTTGCCTGTACACGTGGAAAAGCACAAGCTACCTGCATAACATATCTGAACATCTGCATAATATTATATAGGGAATTGCCTTCATTTATACCGGCCCTGACGTCATCTCTTGGCTCAAATAACACTTCGCTTGGAGCTGCTGTTCCCAAGCACGCCCACCGCAGCGAGGAACAGGCGCTCTTCATACCCCTGTGATAGGATGGGCTGCAGTCGGACAGGATTCCCGCATCAAGAACGCTCAACCGGACAGCAGTGATCCCACGTCCGTCTGCAGGAACGGGGCACATAGGACATCTTCCTCGCAGAGCCGCGCGCGCAGCGCAGGCGAGGACTAGACAGCGCGCGTCCGAGGGTGCCCGCGGGGAAGGCCACCAACTCCCCCCGGCGGGCTGTGTCCACCCTCCAAGAAGCAGTCGCTCACCACCCGAATCGTCGCTGGCAGAGGGACCCACCCGACGACAGCGCCCGCCGCGCTCTCGTCTGCGTTCCGAAGCCTCGGGCCCTCTCGCGGGCCAGGGGCCTGGAACCAGTAGACACAACAGGTAGAGAAACCGAGAACCCAGGCTGCTCAGCGTTCGAACCGCCGCGGGAACCGTTGGGGACGCACCTCCCACGGCGGGCTCAGCTCCGCCCCCGACGCCCACCTCCCCGCCTCTGCGCCGGGCGACGCAGGCGGCGCAGGGCCTGCCGGGAATCGTGGTCTGAGAGCGCCGCCCGGACGGCTCGCTCGGAACTACATTTCCCACAATTCCCCCCAAGGCGCCCATTGGCGCGCAGGAAACTATGGGGAACCTGCGGCTGTGGGCGTGCGAGGCGGGTGATGCTCACGCAGGCAGTGAGGGAGCCAGGACCTAGGAGGGTGCGGAAGGGACTGCTGGCCCCGCCCTCAGTCACCCCCGTCTTTGGAGGTTGGCGAATGCTCCTCTGTGGGAGTGTTTGCCGCCGCTGCGGCCGCCGCCGGGAGTTTCCTCAGGCTCCTGGTTTCCCTGCCTTGCCAGCCACGCGGAGTCCGGGGAGGCAAGCGGAGCCTCCGTGCCGATAACCCACACCGCCCACGCCTTTTCCAGCCCGAGATCGCCCGGCAGGGATGGGCGAAAAGACCTGGCTGCCCTTCCCGGTGCTGCTCCTCGCCGCTCTGCCCCCGGCGCTGCTGCCCGGGGTGGCGGGCTTCACGCACTCCCTGGACAGCGACTTCACCTTCACGCTGCCGGCCGGCCGGAGGGAGTGTTTCTACCAGCCCATGCCCCTGAAGGCCTCGCTGGAGATCGAGTACCAGGTCAGTGCGGAGGGTGAGCCGGCCCCCCTCCTTCCGCCCGGCGGCACCGCGTCGTCGCCCCTCGCCCGCTTGGAGACGGGTCGGGGGCGTGGGGTGGTGCGGCGCGCGGGCCGCGGGAAGCCGCCGCCTTCGCGCAGGCGCGCTCGGCCGCCGGGGAGCCGAGAAGTTAGGCGGGACCGGAGTTGGCTGCGCTCTGCCTTTTCCCCTTTCCTCCCGTCGGAGAGAGGCCAGCGCCGCTGATGTCGGTGGTTTTTCTCGGTTTCACAATTCGCCCGTCGCTTCGCTAGCCAGTCCACGCTCCAGGACTGAGAATTTCACAACACAGGACTAATACACGTTCTCCTTTACCATTGGATGAGATGATGGTATTTGTTTTATGCACGCCACCACCCTCGCCCAAATGCAAATATCCTAAGTTGTAACTGTCATTTCTGCAGTTAAGGATTTTTGAATTGGACCATGTGATTATCACGCAATCCGATTTTGGTATAAACCTGTGAAAAAGAATATGGATGTATGCAATGGTACATTTCCTTATCAGTTACATATTTTTTTAATCGAATTAGATCTAATTGTATATTAAAGCGATATAACCTTTCATTTCCGCATTATGAGCTTTTCTCCCATGTCACTGGTTTCTTTTTGTCTGCACAGTATTATGTAGGGAATTGCCTTCATTTATATAGCCCTCTGGTAGAGGATAATTTCTTAGAAGAAATCTTGTTAGTTCAACACAGCTAATTTCGATGTCTCTAAGGTAGCATTGCAAAAAGAGAGGCGCTGGTGTGGTTCATCTTTTAATTTTTTTACAAGTTACATAATTTATAATCAGGTCTCACTTTTTAAAAAATATATTTTTATTGATTTCACAGAGGAAGGGTGAGGGGGAGAGAGAGAGAGAGAAGCATCAATGATGAGAGAGAATCACCTGCACGCTCCCCAGTGCGGGCGAGTGCCCTTGACGGGAATTGAACCGGACCCTTCAGGCCACACAGGCCCCTTGCTCTATCCACTCAGCCAAAACGACCAGGACAGGTGTCACTTTTTTTAAGTTGATGTAGGGAATCTTTTTCAGTAACAGGTACTGTCATATATAGAGCAAAATAAAGAGTTATGCAGGATTTTCATGCAGAGGGACTTCAGAATTAGATTATTTATAGGTGTATAAGGTAAGCATAGAGAGTAAAAAATCTAATGTCACACATAATTAGCAAAACCAAATCCAGACCTCGACATTTTAAAAATGTCCAGTCTAGTTCAAAAGTTCACTTACTGAACAGTTAACTATATGCCAATAATTGGGGGGGGGGCGTGTAAAAACAAAAGAAAGAGTCCCTGTTTTCAGGGGGTACTTGAAATATTTAAGGAGCACTGGCTCAAGCAGGTAATTTCAATAAAGTATGGTTAAGTGCTCATAAGAAGGGCCACTTCTCTGGGGTTTCAGAAAAGGATACCTGAAGAAAATAAATTTGAATCTAGAAAGATGCTTAAGTGAAACAAGGATGCAAGGAAGAGGGGACATTTCAAAAAAAGGAACAAAATGAATATGCATTTTGCATTCTGAAAATGCATAGTGGGAGTGTTTTGGCTACAGGCAGTATGAAGTGGAAGTTACAAGTGCTGAGGTTTTATGAGACTTCAAGTCTAGAAAATCTAGAGTGGGAGTAAAATAAAAAGATTAGAGAGATCCGGAGGCTTTATCATGGATCATGATCTTAGCCTTGTGCACCATTTTAAGTAGCTTTGTCCTTATTCTGTGCAAGAGCCATTGAAGATTTAAGCAGCATGGTAACGGAGTCAAAAATGTTTGTCCGATAGATCACTGCATAGTGCGGAAGATGGGTTTAAGTAAGTCAAAATGAGAGGCAAGGAAATCAGTGAAATGGTCTACGAAAGACAGCAATTTGTACTATTCAAAAACGCCTCAGTATTTACCCAGGTATTAGGGAGGAAGTCTATTTTAACTTCTGACCTCTTATGATTAAGACCTCTAGCTCTAGAAGTAAAATGCCTGAGTTGAAATCCTCTCAATTACTACCTGTGTGATTTTGTACAAGTTACTGAACCTCTGTCTTGTAAAATAGAGATAACAGTAATTGCCTCATAGATTTGAAAAAAATGAGTAAATGATTGTTCATAGACCATCTCTGACACATAGTAAATATTAAACGAATGTGTGTGTGTTTTTTACATTTACACTTCTAGTGTTATGTAGCTGGCTTGATTTACCTTTATACTTTGTATAAAGGGACTGTTCCCCCAAAGCATTCACTCTCCCTAAACAATTTAATTGTTTTCATTGAGGAGAAAAGTATAATCATTTAATGTCTATAACCCTAGACAATGTAGGAGGAGTGTGTAAGGTAGAGATCATCTTCAGCCCTTTGCATTTCCCTACTCCATGATTAATTTCCAACAAGTAAGCTCTGGTTTTTGTCTTAGTGTTTAAAATTTCAGGGAACTGGTGTTCCAGACACTGCCCTGGAGTTATTGTGACAAACTGATGAGCCCTACATTATATTGTTCTCAAAATTTTTTAATGTCAATACATGTATCTTATGAATAATGTAGATCATTCACTTAAAAATTTAAATCTTTGGCCCAGCCACTGTGCTCAGTGGTTGAGCATCGACCTATGAACCAAGAAGTTATGGTTCGATTCCTGGTCGGGACATGTGCCCAGGTTGCAGGCTCGATCCCCAGTGTGGGGCTGCGGGAGGCAGCCGATCAGTGATTTTCTCTCATCATTGATGTTTCTAGCTTTCTCTCCCTCTTCCTTTCTCTCTGAAATAAATAAAAATATATAAAAAATGTTTTTAAATCTTTATTGAGTGCTTAATTTGTATAAGCACTATGCTAGGTGCTATGAATACAATGGTGAATAAAAATGTAGTCTGTGCCTTTATACAATCTTGTATGGGGACAGACATTAATTAAATTCTTACACAAATAAATGTGAAATTGTAGCTCTAATAAGTGCTATGAAGGTAGATAAATGCATACAGCTATGAGAGTATTTAAAGGGAGGATTTGATTTCATCTGAGAATTAAGAAGACTTCCCAGAGGAAGTGGAGTTCAGATCTGTAGAAGAATCAGGTTAACTAGGCATAAGGGGGTGAGTGGAACAACGTGATGGGTAAAAAGAACACGTGATAGCCCTAGCCGGTTTGGCTCAGTGGATAGAGGGTCGGCCTGCAGACTGAAGGGTCCCAGGTTCAATTCCAGTGAAGGGCATATGCCCAGGTTGCGGGCTCGATCCCCAGTGGGGGGCGTGCAGGAGGCAGCCGATCAATGATTCTCACTTGTCCTATCTCTCCCTTCCTCTCTGAAATCAATAAAAATATATTAAATATTAAAAAAGAACACATGATAAGGCATTGAGGAGTAAGACAGACTACTTTTGAGGGATTGAAACATTATTACCATAGCATACAGACAGGGGAAAGTGGCACTTGCTTTTCATGTTCCATTAAAATCAGTGGGGAGTTTAGATTTGGATTATGGTATAAGTTGGCTTCTGTATTTTTAAAAAATATATTTTTATTGATTTCAGAGAGGAAGGGAGAGAGAGATAGAAACATCAATGATTAGAGAGAATCATTGATCAGCTGCCTTTGCACATCCCACACTGGGGATCGAGCCTGCAAGTCGGGAATGTGCCCTGACCGGAATGGAACAGCCACTTCCTGGTTCATAGGTTGAAGCTTAACCACTGAGCCATGATGGCTGGGCAGCTTCTGTATTCTTAAGTGCCATTTCTAACAATTTCATTAAGCCTGCTAGCCACTAACAAAAATATATTTTAAACTTAGCTTTACTGAAATCTTTGCTTAGTTTTGGTATAGCTCGTTTTCTGACTTAATGGATATCTTTTTTTTTTTTTTTTGAGGATAACCTGAGTAATTCTTTTAGTATGTTTTGAGTCCTTGGATATCTGAAAATTGCTCTTACTTTTTGCTTTCACTTCAGTAAGTACTATAATTTTTATTTTTACTCGGGAACATTGAAGACATGGTTCTATTGTGGGTTTTTTGCATCTTCTATGTAAGAATTCTGATGCCAATCCCAATTCTTGATATTTTTCAGTCTTTACTACTGGTGTTGGAAGTTTCCAGGTGGTTCTTTTTAAATCCTTTGGAAGAGTCAATAGGATTTTTGGATCTTTTTTTATTTATACTGCTTCCCATCTATTAAAACTCTTTCAGTCTAATGAATTTTATCTTTTGAAGCAGGAATTTTTATTCTCTTATTTGATGATTTCTTCCCTTCATTTCTCTTGGTTCTCTCCTTTTGAAATGCTTACTAGATGAGTAATTTAAAATCTCTAGCTCTGTCCTTCATAAGGGTCTTACCATTTTCCTCATACTTTTCACCTATACTTTTTCACCTTGTTCTGAGAATTCCTTGGCTCGTTCTAATGCTCTAATTTTTAGGCTTCTTCTATGTTCATTCTGCTAACATTGCACTTGTTTATAATGTACATTTAATTGTGAGTTTTGAGATCAATAGATAGTGGTAGCTGGATATAGCCTTTGCTCAGTAGAGTATCTTCCAGAAATTCCTTTCTCTTCAAGTCTCTTAACAGGCTTCTTGATTTCTGGTGGTGTTATGGATTACTTATATTATGTTTTCTTCATTTCATTGGGATTTAAAGAAGAATTGTATATATTTAACTTTCCATTTGAAGCCAGTTGGTTGTTTTTGTTTTTTTTTTGTCAGTAAGTAGAGCACAGGAGTAGGTAATCTTTTATATCATTCTATGAAAGCCACCAAGAAAAATAAAGTGGAGTGTTATATAAGAAAAAGAGTAGCCATGGGAGGGAGATTGGTGAGTTCATATTTTCTGGCTATGCCACTTATTTGCTGTATCATCTTGGGAAAATTTCTTCTCTCTGCCTTCATTTTTTTTGTTTTTTATTAAAATGAGAACAATAATAGGACCTACGTTTTAGAGTTGTTGTGAGGAATAAATTAACCCACATAAAGCACTTAAAAGACAATGTGTGGCATAAACTGTAATTGTGACCAGCAGCAGCAGTAGGAGGACATTTGGGGATTGTAAAGGAACAGATTGTGTTCATTGGCCATTGGCCAGTAAGTAAGCAGCCTACCTTGAATGTATTGTTCATATTGGGGAGTAATATATGAATGTGTTGAAGAAGTCAGATCATGGTGGTCTCAAATTCTAGACTAAGTGTCAGCTAATTCTTATTTTATTCTACAGGGCTTCTCAACTTGAAGGCACTGTTTTAGGAAGATTATTTCACTAATACCTATAAGGCCTAAATTTCCATGATAGCCAACAGGAATTGGTACAAGAGAGACCAGTTCCAAAAATGAATGGAATTGAACTAGATGATCTTTCTGCTCCTTTCTAGCCATAATGAGTCCGTTGACTTTCTTACCCCTCTAGGTTTATAAAGAAAGTCTCTTCATTATGGGATCTACTTTCTATAATTTATTTTCAGAATTTGTAATATGTGTTCTCTTCTGTATTCTACAGGTTTTAGATGGAGCAGGATTAGATATTGATTTCCATCTTGCTTCTCCAGAAGGAAAAACCTTAGTTTTTGAACAAAGAAAATCAGATGGAGTTCACACGTAAGTAATCTCTTAGTTGATTCCTTGAGCTGAATAATACCAATGGGACCATCTACAAGGCAGGAAAATTTAGCACATTTGATACTAAATATCAATATAAAATTATTCCATATGAACATTTTATTATTTGTTGTTACTATTATTATTATTATCATTATTATTTTTAATCCTCACTCGAGGACGTGCTTAACCAGGGATCAAACCTACAACCTAGGTATGTGCCCTGACTAGGAATTAAATCCTAAACCCTTCGGTGTACAGGATGACTTTGCTCCAACCAACTAAATCACACCAGCCAGGACACCATATGAACATTTTAAACAATCCTTTTTATTTATTTGTTAATGTATTTTTATTGACTTTAGAGAGGGGAAGGGAGAGGGATAGAGAGAGAGAAACATTGGTGATGAGAGAGAATCATTGATTGGCTGCCTCCTCGGGGATTGAGCCTGCAACCCAGGATGTGCCCTGACTGGGAATTGAACCGTGACTTCCTGGTTCATAGGCCAATGCTCAACCACTGAGCCACACTGGCGGCCTAAATAGTCCTAGATAGTGGTCTAAAAAACTAGAATATTTTCCATTAACTTTTTTCTTTTTCTTTAGGCATTTTGTATTGATCCTGTTTTTTTCCTTGCTTTGGTTAAATAGATGAGTATTCCCTAAGTATTATATGCAATCTATTGTGTCATTTTGAACCAACCTTTTTGGCTAGAAGAGGCCTTCCATTTTAACTGTAAATTACACTTCCAGGTAATTTATCATCTCTGCCCATTCTTTTCTTCCTTAAAACAACAGTAAAATACATTTGTGAGTATAAGTAAAAATTGTTTTACTCAGACCTTACTCTTTTTAGACGATTAGAAGACCTGAAAGTAAAAGATGTGACCATAGGAAACCATATAAAAAGAAAATACTTGTTATAACACTTTCAGTTTAAATTTGACAACTGGCCATATATTCTCTTTTTTCATCTATTTTCCTTTTTCCATCTGTCACTGGTGTTTTGTTGTTCTATTATTTTACTTTAGCTCTTTCGTTACTCAGTATTGTTGTGTTAAAACTAAACTGAATTTATAGGAAGAAGAGCTAATACAGAGTATCCAATATTTGCCATAAACGAGGCCTTGCATTTTATATGCTTCTAAATTAATTATTCCAATCCACTGTGAGATAGATTCTTTGATTCCCTAATTCCCATTTTACAGACAAGGAAGCTCAGAGAAGTTAAATAAGTCTGCAGGGGTATATTTTATTAAGCGGAGGCAGGATGGACCAAAATATTTACTTTCTACCATATGATGCTTAGAACATCCCTGGCACATAGTACATGTAAGTACTAGTTATTATTATAATTATTGGTGTTTATTAACCAAAGTACCTGGCATGGTAATTGATAGTAAATACTGAATACATGTATGACTGAATGAGGGGGAAAATGTCTCCACCATAATTTTTCAAGATACTCATTTCAGAGTGCTTTGTAAAGTGGCTTTTTCCTATGTAGAGCTCAGGAAAAATATTTGCATAAACTATTAATATATAAAATAAATTACCATTTTAAAAGTCAGTTTAGCCGAAACCGGTTTGGCTCATTGGATAGAGCGTCGGCCTGCGGACTGAAAGGTCCCAGGTTCGATTCCGGTCAAGGGCATGTACCTGGGAAAATAGAGTTTCTCTCAATTTTTATTTTCTCTCCAATTTTATGCTTTCTTTTAGAGATAAATTAATATTGACTCTTAGAGGGAAAAAAATCAATAAAATATATTAAAAAAAAAAAAAGTCAGTTTAGATTGATATGCTTAGGATTAACTATACTTTCTCTTTGATAGGTATATGAACAAGAACTAAAAATGTAGTTCACCTTTAAATTTCAGAATATAGAAAATATATAGAGTTTCTCTCAATTTTTATTTTCTCTCCAATTTTATGCTTTCTTTTAGAGATAAATTAATATTGACTCTTAGAGGGAAAAGGTATTTTATTGCTTTAGTACACAGAATTGCCTCTCATTAAAACATTGGGAGACAAAAATGAATTTATAAGAGTTTGCATTTATTGAGTTCTTTTGATGTGCCAGGAAACTATTCTAAGTACTTTACATGTATTTATGTACATATTATTCTTCACCACAATCCTATGAGTTACATGATATTTTTATCAATTTACCAATGAGGAAATTGAGGCCTAGAGCTCTTAAGTAAACTGATGGAAGGTTACACAGCTAGTCAACAGTGAAGCCAGGATCTAAAACCCAGGCAGTCTAATTCACTCTTAATCACTACATGAATTTTACAAATCTACTTTGTAAAAATTAGATTTTAATACAAATTTTATCTTTAGCTATATTAACTTTTTAAAGACAACTAAAATCTCAGTTACAGCATTGAAATAGTTTTTTCGTAATTTAAATCTTTAAAATAAATACTGTCCTTTTAGAAGTCGGGATTAGTAAAAATTTCTCCAAACAGAGCCTTAAAACAGATTAAATAATACCTATTTGGCTAACACTGCCTGTAATGAAGAGTTGTATATAAATGCATTTTTCTAAACAACAGAATTAATATTACCCTAACTACATTCCAAAGATGTACTTAATTGGTAGGAGTCCTGGAAGAAAGCATTTAGGAAAATCAATCACTGCTTTTGAAAAAAAACACCAAAAACTCACTTTATAAATTAATCTCAATTGAAGGGGAGGTTTGTAGTCATAAATATTGAAGTTCATTGTGAGGTGTCATGTATCTAGTTTTTAATTCAATTCTTTTCCAAAAATTATGTCAAGACCATTTACCGTAATGCCAAGCACATCTAGATTGCAAGTATAGTACTTGGATATACAGTGGTGGGCAAAAGTAGACTTACACTTGTGACTACTCGAAACAGAGTTGATTTTTGTATTATTAGTTATTGTATTACTTATTTGTATTAAACTGTAAACCTATTTTTGCCTACCTCTATATATTTCTAGGTTGCCTCTCCCAAAAAATTATAAATTATCTTTTAAATCTAAGGAAGTCTATCAGTAAGCTGTCCAATTATTATTAACTGTTACTTCTTCTATCTGTAGTATTTTTTCCTTTGATTTGAAATATAAGTACTGATAATGGAACACATTTACTTTTTTTAATACAGGGTAGAGACGGAAGTAGGGGACTACATGTTCTGCTTCGATAATACATTCAGCACCATTTCTGAGAAGGTGATTTTCTTTGAATTAATCCTGGATAATATGGGAGAACAGGAGCAAGAACAAGAGGACTGGAAGAAATATATTACTGGCACAGATATGTTGGATATGAAACTAGAAGATATCCTGGTCAGTATGGTCTATTAATGAAATAATAAAAAATTATTAACATCCAGAGGTTTTACTCTGTGACAGGCACTGGGCTAAGTATTTTAACTGCATTATCTCATGTAATCCTTACTTAACTCTATCAGGATCATCTCTATTTTCCAATGAGGAAATTGTATCTTAGGGGGGATTAAGTAATGTTCCTATCACATAAACAGAGAGAGAGAACTAGAATTTGAATATAGGCTCTTAACTGCAAATCTTCCTTAGAATGTTCACTAACAGAAGAATATAAAAATCTGTTGCATACTTGCACTGAGTAATTTGTGAACAGTTAAGATATACAGGCATTTTTTCCCACATCATAGTTTTTATAACATGGAATTTGATATTATTTAATTTGGGAACACTATTTACATTACTCGAACCAGACCTAGCAATTATCAGAAACTAGCACTGCACTCAGGAGTGCAAACTTAGGATATGGCTTCTTTTCTTGAACTGCTTTAAGCTTTATTATAAACATGAATAATGAAATGTACATGTATAAAAACCTATTTATATTTAATAATAGTACTGCCAGTGCTAGAGGGAAAGGTCATAACCCTTCAGCCACAGCTAGATGTGTAACCAAAGGACAACTTACTCAGTGATACTTGTAACTCCATTGTAGAAATTCTTGCAGGATAAATAACATAGTTATTTCAAGTTTGTAACACTTCTAATACTCTTATCACCTGAACTTTTTAAAAATAATGTGATATTTTGATAAATATATCTGAGTTTTATTAGAAAAGGAATGATCAAATTATAGCAGAAGAGACATAAATCAGTTAGCGTAAGTTGGAATATTAAGTGGTCCTATCATATGTGTAATTCCTTGGTGACTGAGCTCTCTGAGCCTTGGTTTCCAACCTGGAAAATGGGGACAATACCTCTAGAGTTGTGAGGTTGAAATGTGATACACTATGTATATAAGTGCTTTAAACAGTGTCTGGCAAATAATAAATGTTAGTTTTCATACCTTTTCCACTGGTGTTACTCTGAATACAAACTGAAAGGATAAAGTTTGATTGGCGTTAATTTTACCATGACATTTAAATATATATATGTATGTTTTGGTTTTTTTTCAGAGAAGAGAGGAGAGGGAGAGACAAATAGAAGCATCAATGATGAGAATCATCGATCAGCTGCCTCCTCCTACAGGTCCTACACTGGGGATCAAGCCAATAACCTGGGCATGTGACCTGACGGGAATCGAACTGTGACCTCCTAGTTCATAGGTCAACTCCAACCAGTGAGCCACACTGGCCGGGCTACCATGACAGTTTTTTATCTCATCATGATTTCTTATGTATATTAAACTTAGTTGAATTTTAGAACTAGAAGATGACTTAGATATTATTAATCTAGCTTCAGCCTCCTTCCTTTTCCCTTCCATTCCATTTTTTAGATAAGGAACTAGCTTAAAATTAAAATGGAAATGCTATATCCATATTTCCATTATAGTCCAATCTTCCCACCCAATCAAATGAACATATTCTTCCATTTTAAATATATGTTACCAACAAGAACAAAATGCAAGTAGTTATAAATCTTATTAGTACTTCACTGCATTCTCCAGAGATTGACTTTACTCACACACTTAAACAAAATGACCAGAAAGTTCCGATTTAAATATGGCTTAAAATACTTAGATTCCTTAAGAAAATAAAGTGTCTTTCAGGAGCTTTTTCCATTTGCTCCCCAGACTTTGTATCACAATTGCAAACTTGAATAAATAATTTTATATGTGACTATCATCATTATGCTATTGAAAAGAACTATGCATGCTTTTTTTGAGGAGCTGAACTCCATATTTTCCTGGAAAATATCTGTATTTCTTTAAAGAAATGCCCATATGATATTATATTTTGTCGTTTTATAGGATCAGCACAGCAGTCTGAAATTGAGTATATTTTTTTACTTAAATAAGGATTTTAAGCAAAGTGGGTCTCTAGGAAAAAAATCTGTTGCTTGGATTTTTTTATTTTATACTAGAGACCCGGTGCACAAAATTTGTGCACATGTAGGGTCCCAAGGCCTGGCCGGCAATCAGGGCCTATCTGTGAGGTGACCAGCGGGGCAATTGGAGGGTCCCTACTGGCACCTGCCTTGGCCAGCCTGGCACTGCCTGCTCGCCAGCCGGCCCTGCCCCCCGCCGCCGCCACTGTTCGTCTCCCTCTGTGGGGTGACCGTCGGGGCGATCAGGGTGCCCCCACTGGTACCCGCCTTGACTGGCCTGCAGGCTGGGGGCAGCTCCTGCATTGAACATCTGTCCCCTGGTGGTGAGTGTGCATCATAGCGACCGGTTGCTCCACCATTTGGTCAATTTGCATATTAGGCTTTTATTATATAGGATCATTTGAATTCTCAACTAAATTTTACCTTATATTCATATAGTCTATAGTTAGTCTTCAAATAATTTCTGATCAGGTCCGTACTATAAAGTAGTTTTTTTTTTTCAGAAGATATGCAACTTAGAATGAATCTTGGTAAGTTTGTTTAATGAATGTGATCTTGGAATAAGTTTTTATTAACAATACGTTGTACTTTTTGGGTGTAAAGAATGCACATATAAAGTTGAAATAGTTTTTAATTTCACTACTTTGTGAGATAAAAACACTGTGTGTTTTGCTAAATACTATATTGGACCAGACTAACATTCCAAGAAAAAAAAATATTAACATACAATGTGTTAATTATATGAAGGCAAATACCTAAAAACTTATCAGTTCTGTTTTTTAAGACATTTTCTTATAGTTGCATGGGCTGAGAAAGAAATAATGTATGTAAAATTCCTGGCACTGTGCCAACTCAAATATATTTTCATTTTATTTAGTCTCAATTTGTAGCTTTGTTCCTGTGTTAAATAACTATTTATAAATAATAATTTAAATGTATCAAGAAAGCTATGACATAACCTTACAGATAACCTTTATGTAATCTAAATAGCATCTGTTCCTTAATTAACATTGTGTTTAGATATGAAACATATGAATAGGAAGGGTACTGTAAAACACATTTTAAAATTAACTTAAAATTACTGAGAATTCTTTTATAGTAAAATTATTTTCTTTATCTCCAGGAATCCATCAACAGTATCAAGTCCCGACTAAGCAAAAGTGGTCATATCCAAACTCTTCTTAGAGCATTTGAAGCGCGTGATCGAAATATACAAGAGAGCAACTTTGATAGAGTCAACTTTTGGTCTATGGTTAATTTAGTGGTAATGGTGGTGGTGTCAGCCATTCAAGTTTATATGCTGAAGAGTCTATTTGAAGATAAGAGGAAAAGTAGAACTTAAAACTCCATATCAAAACTCCATATTGAAAAAGAGACAGAAAAATGCAATGAACTGTTACAGTCAAGACCATAAATAGTATTTCCAAAATGTTTTCAATTATTACCATAAGTGAAACAATTTTAATTTTAATGTGAAAGAAAAGTCTTCACTTTCGTCTGTGCAAGTAATCTTATTGCTCTGGTTATACTTAAGTGCATAGCAAATATTTTGCAGAGTATAGGTATAATTGAATGAAGCCATATTAATAATGGCATTTTCCTGTTTAAAAAAAATGCAAATGTGTCATAGGTGATTTTAAAAAAGGAACTTTGGGCCTAAATGCAACACCAAACAATTTTTGTTTGTTTTAATATTTTTTTTGTTGATTTTTGGAGAGAGGAAGTGAGAGAGAGAGAAACATCAATGTGAGAGGGAAACATCAATAAGCTGCCTTCTGCACACCTCCTACCAGGGATCTAGCCCATAACCTAGACATGTGCCCTGACCAGGAATTGAACCAGCAACCTTTCAGTGCAGGATGCCCAACCAACAACTGAGCAACACCAGCCAGGGCCTAATAATGTTGCTGGGTTTTTTTGTTTTTGTTTTTCTGTTAATCCTCACCGAGGATTATTTTCCATTGATTTTTTACAGAGTTTTTTGGGGGGGCAGGTGGGGAGATACATCGATTGGTTGCTCCTGCACACAACCTGACTGGGGCTGGGGATTGCACCTGCAACCCAGGTAAGTGCCCTTGACCAGTAATCAAACCTGCGACCCTTTGGTGCCTGTGCCAACGCTCTAACCACTGATCCACACCAGCCAGGGCTGAACAATTTTTTATTTATTTTTTATAAATATTTTTTATTGATTTCAGAGAGGAAGGGAGAGAGAAACGTCAATGGTGAGAGAGAATCACCTGCCTCCTGCACGCCCCCCTGGGGGGAATTGAGCCCGCAACCCAGGCATGTGCCCTTGACTGGAATTGAACCCAGGACCCTTCAGTCTGCAGGCCGACGCTCTATCCACTGGGCCAAACCAACTAGGGCCAAACAATGTTTTTAAAAGATTCTCTTACCTAGAAGTTTCCTTGTAAATGTAGCAATTACAAATTAAATTTCCAACATATTAAGTTATAAATCATCTAAGAATTGACCTAATCGTGGATTGAATACATCTTTAGAAGATGAAGACTCTACTTTTCTCTTTTTACATATGCATCTCTCCTCTAATGTAAATGGAAGCATAGCTGTGAAAAACAGATTTGTGAGACTTTTATAACCAAATATATTTCAATTTAAAATATTAGCAACAAGTAATTAGTTTTATATACTTATCTTACATTCCCAAAAGCTGACATTGTGATAATTCTTAAAAATGCTAAATCATAATTAACATTAGGACAAATTATCTTTTTGAAATAAAGAGTTAAAGGTTGCTAAGTCTCCTTTAGGACTTACTCTGTTTAATCCTTAACTAAGGTATAGGATTTTAAAATTAAATGTGAGAGAAATAATTTTGTTTTTATGTTGTCAACAGTGTTATGTTAATTTTAACATGATTATTGAGTTGGATACATTATTACCAGCAGTCGTAAAGGAAATATTGCTAAAAGGATCTGGGCCTAACATAAATATCTCCTTTTCTGACTTCTCAAAATCAGTAAAAAAGAACTAATAAAGTCAATATAAAAAGAATTAAGGTAAGTATCTATAATCTGATGGGCCCCTCATAATGATCCAACCTTAATACAAATCATGAGATAATTTCCAGTTAACTAGAAGAAATATTACTTGGCTATGAACTTTTTTACAACTGTTCTGTTTTGAATTATCTAATAAGTATTCAGGTACATTTTATGAAATATAAGTCCTATTGTAGTTTAGCATTGGGTATACATATTTATTACAAATATTATAACTTTCATAAAATGATTTTTCTGATCATTTTATTGACATTCAAGTAAAATTTGAAACCCACAGAATCCCAAGTTTGAATACTCCATATATAACTTTATAAATAAAGGCTGTACTGTCCTGGCCTCCTGCAGTCCGTGGAGTCTTACTCCAATACTAGTAATTAATTGAATAGCATTTTTAGGTTATACCCATTTGTAGTATTGTTTATAACAAATATGAGTTAGAAGCAGTCAACTTCTAAATTTGAGTACAGAATCCCTCTGTAGGTTAGTACTGCTGGCAATGTTAAGCAATAATTGATATCCAGAGAGAATGTTTTCATTATGCTTTATACTCTGAGTGGTACAAAAAGATTTATTTCCCTCCTTATGCCTTTGGGAACACAGAAACTTAGGTTTCCCTACTTTCAAGCTTTTTTAAAATCAGGTAAATGCCATGTATGATCAATTACCTTCATTGGCCAAGAACGTGCTTTAAGTGTCCAGGTATAGTCCCTCTAACATGCAAAACAAGGGCCAATAAGTCATTGCCTCTGAAGAGCCCTCCCCGTCACCCCTCCTATTAACCTCCTAATGAGAAGCAAACTTAGAGTACTATAATAAAACAGTACAATATAAACTACTGCATCTTTTCTTTAAAACTGTGATTAAGGATTCTACCTCTTATGTATGGCTAGCAACTATACTGTACTCTTACTCCCTAACAATGAATTTCTTACATCTTGTACATATGATTTCTGCCACTGATATTAAACCTATGATTCAGTAACTTCTCACCATGTAACAATGGCCTTATTTGGAAAAGAATTTAGGAAGATTGAGGACAATTTTATTTTTATAGACACAAAGTGAAAAGAGATCATTTAAGAAACATGTTATTTATAATTAGCCAAAAGAAGTAAAATTGATAAGCAAAGGACTAAATTTTGAAATATTTCTGAAGCTATACTGTTTTCTTCATGGTTTTTAATGTCAACATTCACTTTCAAAGTTAAAATTATGCTAAAATTGAGTAAGCTATCAACAGCTTTTTGTCGTTTTTAATTAAATTTAAAATACTGTAATATTTAAGTAAGGCCTAGCATTTCACTCTGATTTGCATTTGGGTAATTAATGATATGCTTTTCTTTCATGTGAATGTCAAGACATAAAGGGTAAATAAATGGTTGAAATAGCATTGAAATAAATTACACATTCAAATGTAATTTCATGTCATGTTTATCCTTAAGCATTGCTATTATGTCTTAACATTGACAAAGACTTGAGTTCCTCTAATTGTATACCTTCTCAAATGAAATTTTAAAAGAAATTGATTCAGCATGTAATGGTGTTTCATCTGAAGTGTAATAATGCAGTGTTGTTCAAATTGCCTTATACTTGTGAACAACCATATTAAGTGAGAAATGAATACTGCACTGAGTGTAATAAAAATTTAAAAATCTAACTTGTCTATCAGTTGTAAATGCTATCTAATCCTTCAAGTCTTTACTGATCTCATCTACTCCCCTTTCCACTTGAAAACCCATAGTTCACTGCATTTATTACATTTCCTGCCTTGCATTGGAGTTCTGCTTATATGTATACTTACTCATATATTGTCCAAACATGCATTGTAACTAAAAGGGCTCAAAATATAGAAGCAAAAATAATTAGTTCTGAAAGTTTGGAATGCTATAAATAAGCACTCTACTCCTCTACCCCACCACAGGAATTGTTTAGGTCTGGCATACGGCTCCAGAATCTTAAATTAACCATCACAATTTGGGATTCTGGTGTCCATTTTCCTTGAACCATTACTGGGTGATTTTGGGAAGTCAAAACTCCTTTGAATCCATTCACTGGTAGAAATATTTTAAAATCTTAAAACTTAATTAAAATAGCCTATCAGAGTCCAGTACTTAGGGGTCATTCCCTTCACACCTTCTAGACAAGTCATTCTTCACCCCCACGCTGGTAGAATTCCTAAGGCAGCTTTCTACTTCTACACTCGTGTCACTTTCAGGTGTCTGGGCTTCTGGAAGACTTGTGTCATTGGAAACTGGAGTCATACTTCATTTACTATATATATATGGCACAAAATAAAGAACTCAAACCTAAGATGACATATGAAAGTATTGAGTCCATCTCAAAGTATGATGGACTCAATCCTTAAACCTGAAAGAGGAAGACAAGAAAATGCAGGGCAGGTTAAAACTTTGAAGGTCTTCAATGACCATGAGTCAACGGCAAAATGAACAATGAGAATCAGTTATCCAACAATGAAATGAACTTCTTTATATAGAGAGAGACTACTTCCCAATCCTGGAAGTTTTCAAGTGGCAATATGATCGGATGTTACAAAAGGATTATTTCTACATCCGATATCAAGTGGGAGAATGAATTAATTATAATTAGTCTATCCTTTTTACACTTATTTAAAATCTGAAAGAACTAGCAAAGCCATAAGAGGAGACATGCCAGAGCTTCAAGAGACATATTTTAAAGTTATAGTTTGCTGGATTCTTGCTTGATAGTCAAAAACAAATTGGAAATGAAATTAACACAATATCATTTACAATCACTCCAAAGAAAACAACATATTTTGGTATAAATCTAACAAAACATGTACAGGATCTATATGCTGAAAATTATCAAATGGAAAAAAACTATAAAAACGGATTCGAAGTCTCATAGTAAAAAGGTCAATTCTTCCTAAATCTATAAATTTAACATATTCCTACAAAAATCCAACAAGGTTTGTTTTTGTAGACAAACATTCTAAAAGGTTTAAATGGAAAAGCAAAGGACTGCCCTAGCCGGTTTTGCTCAGTGGATAGAGCATCAGCCTGTGACTGAAGGGTCTTGGGTTCAATTCCAGTCACGGGCACATCCCCAGTAGGGGGCATGTAGAAGACAGTTGATCAATGATTCTCTCATGGTTGTTTCTCTCCCTCTCCCTCTCTATCTAAAATCAATAAAAACTTATTTAAAATTTTTAAAAAAGAAAATATGTGGATGGCAAATAAGCATATAAACAAGATGTTCAACATCATTAGCCATTAGGGAAATTCAAGTTAAAACCACGAGACAATGAGATTATCACTACACATCTACCAGGGTAGCTAAAATAAAAGTTACACCACCAAATGCTAGCAAGAATGCAAGAGAAATTGGGCCACTCATACATTGCTAGTGGTTTATAAAATGGTAAACTCACTCTGGAAAATATTTTGGCAATTTGTTATAAAACTAAACAGGAACTTATCATGCAACACAGCACTTCTACTCTTGGACACTTATCCCTGAGAAATGACAGCGTATGCTCAAATAAAATCCTGTACAGCTTCATTTTTAACAGCCCACATGTCCTTGAAAGAGTGAATGGTTAAACTTTGGTACATCCACACCATGGAATACTA